GATAGACCTTTATATATATGTGGTGCTGAGAATTGAACCCAGTGCCCCATACATGCCAGGCAAGTACCCTACTGCTAAGCCATTAGCCCCAGCCCAGTGCTGGTATATTTCTAATTAAGAGGTTTGTCTTCCTAAATTCAAAGTCATATGATCTGGTGGTCAAAACAGTTGGGTCAAATAACCCTGTACATAGTTAATATCTTTTTTTTTGGTTATGGAGAATTGAATTCAGGGGCACTCGACCACTGAGCCACATTCTCAGCCCTATTTTGTATTTTATTTTAGAGACAGTTTCTCTCACTGAGTTGCTTAGTGCCTCGCTTTTTGCTATGGCTGGCTCTGAACTCGAGATCCTGTTCTCAGCCTCCTGAACCACTGGGATTATAGGCATGTGCCACTGCACCCAGCAACAATATCTTAAAAATATAATAACCATTGAATTTATATGATAAGCTTCAGATATCTATAAGAAAAACAGTTTCTGACTGGAGTTTGGACAGAAAGCAGGTATCAGGAAAATCTATTCAAATTAACTTTAAAGGTAAAATAGCAAGAAAGTAATGAATCTCTAAAGAGAAATAGGAAAACATTAGGAAATACCACTATTTATAAAAAAGAAGAGTGAATTCAACTTTGAGAGGTTGGGTAGTAAGTTTACTTTCCCCAAGATTCAGTTAAGTTGGTACAGGTAGTTCAGGAGCGGACAAATCTGTGCACTGCTTCACTTCCAAAAGTCACCGCGTACTTAGCTAGACTCTCAGGTAACAGCATGTATACTGCCTTCTGAATGTCTTCAGGGGTGAGGGTACAGCGTTTTCTGAAATGCATCAGGTGGTGGGCTTCCTTAGCAATGCGGTCAAAGATGTCGTTGATCAGAGTGTTCATGAAATCCAAGGTGCGAGATGACATGCCCCTCTGGGGAACAACTTCTTTAAGGACCCTGTTTACGTAGAGTGAATAGTTTCTATGGCTCAAACTGGTGCTGGAACTTGACTTCTTTCTGGAGATGGGACTTAGATGTCCTTTGCAGTAACTGTACTTATGGATGGTGCGTCTGGCCATTGTAGATGTTGCTTTCCTTATCAGTTAACGAATGGTGAAAAGGGCCCAAGAATTGGAGGAGTTCTCCTACTTATAGTGACACGTCACAATCACACTGCTGGGGCTTCTCTCTGATTGGTGGTTACTTTTCCTATGTCACAATCATGTAGCAATGACTCTGATTTGTTAAGGGCAAATTGACCAACCAACCTAGAACTTTCCCAAGAAGATAAAGGGAGTGTGGCAGGAAGATTGAGGGTAACTTCAGGGAAAAAAAGAAGAGATCTCATTTTTGCTACTTTGGTTCTCGGTAATTAGAAAGCATCCTCTATAGTATTCAGAGAATTGGACCAACCTCATCAATTTGGGGGTTGGTGTAAGAAAAGTAGAGGAAAAAGTGTCAATCTTTTTGTGGAGGTCACAGTGTTCATAAAAGCGTGTATAAGTTCATTTTATAAGCAACTGAATAAATAAGCCATTACAAGTCTCAAAATGATTGTCTTATAAAAATAAATATGGAGGGCTAATTTGATTTTACAAAATGTTACCTTGATGTTAAGGATTTTTCTAGATCCCGATTCCCCAGGAGCAAATGTGTACCACTGAGTAATAAAAAAAAAAACCAAAACTATACTGTTGTTTATGTTATACTGTGTAACATATGTTATACTGTATTCATTAATCTTTTGTGAGGATATCCTTTAATATCCTTCTTGATTTCACATGTTTCATCACCTGTTCTGCTTTTACTTGATGTTCTGTCATTAACTGAAAGATGTTTCTAGGGTCACTTTTCCCCAGGTGGCATGTTGATATTCATGCTTAAAACAAAACAAAAACTTCATTTGCTTAATCAAATTTATCCTTGTGTAAAATGAAAAATAGAAGTAACTATAAAAATAACTCACAAGCATTTCAGTTATTCATAATTGCCATGACTACTAATGCTACGTCTAACATTTCTCACTATGAACTTCTTCACAGATGAAGTAGACGGGGGCTATGTGGAATTTCTGAAAGCTATCTGTAATTCCTCCCCCTTTTCTCCCATTCAAATCTGAAATCATTTTGTTATGGGGAGAACTTTGAGCTGACTCTAATTTCTGAAGTCCACAGACATTGTTTGTCAATATCCACACCATGTTGATAGTAACACACCTCAGCCAGCGTCTCATCACACTGAGATGCAGGTTGCTGATTCCACTCTGCTCTGGGGTGATGGATCTTCAGTTAGTTCCTGCTAATTTTTGCTTACAGATGTCTCTAGATGTAATTACTTAGTTGGCTTAATTATAGCATAACTTTATTTGCTATCATTTAGAACTAACTATCAGGTGGAGAATATATATTCCCTTTTCTTCAGGAGCCCATGTTCAAGAGTTTCCACTCCTAACCCTCCTGGCCCCCTTGCCTCCTCACTTACTTCTTCCTGCAACAAATGACTTACTTGATTGGGGAGGTAGAGAAAGGCATCTGTGCCTCTCAGCCTTCTCTGGATTCTCATTGTGATGGTACTGTGGGCAGCTCTTGTCCTTGTGAGTGGATCATTATTTCCTAGGCTTCAGCAGCTGAGTGTGTCCCTCTGCTTAATTCTTCCATGCCCTTTTAGGAAAGCCTTCTTAAGCCAAGAGCAGTTGGTGGCGTATATCTCATGGTGTCACTCTGGCCCTGACTCACCTGCCTCCCTCTTTTACCACACCTAGAGGCTGGTCTTCAGTTAATAACCAAGGTGCCATTTTATCTCATCTTCCCGGTTCTTTTGTCTCTTCCAATTGCTTTAGATCTTGAGGTGAAAGAAAGAAGTAGATAGAAATCGTAGCTAAAAGAAAAAAATTTTTAAAGCTCTAAACAGTAAGCTGTATGTTAAAATACTGATTGACCAGAAAGTTCAGAAATTGAGGAAGATTGATTCTATAAAATGTCTGGCCAAATTTAGGCTAACCCAAATTCCCTTTTAGTATTTCATAAATCATTTAAAAATAGGTAGGAATTCACTTCTGTTTTTTTCTTTTCCTTCCTTCTCCTCCCAACAGTCTGGAAAAAAAGGAATAAACATCTTTTAGCATAATGCCCCAAAGGAGATGCCCGTTGTATTATTAATCCAGGCAATATGGCAAATCTGATTATTTTGCACCTGTTGCCTGCTGAGAGTAGACACTGTGAGGACTTCTATCCTCTTTCAATCTTTCTTTTGCCCTTATCTTCAAGGTCTTAGAATAAAGTTTGTTGCCATTTTATCTTCACATCTTCTGAAGGTATATCAGATTGAAAGGACTGGTGACCAATGTATGAGAGGTCCTGAGTCTCCAAGGCTCAAAGTCCTTGACTTTGAGCCCAAAGTTTTATGTATTTTTCCAGACTCTTGTGCTTTATCACATTGTATCTACTTGGGACATAAATTGCTTAGTATCCTTCCTCCCATGATGAAGTAAGTAAAGTACTGGAGTTCCAATTGCTTATCCTTTCATTGATGTTTCAGGATATTGTAATGACTCAAGGTCATCATCAAGAGTGATTATCTCACAATAACTGTGGTAGATGTGGCCTTAATTCAAATCGAAATACGTGCACCAACATATATGTTTATACTTTTCATTTTTATAGCCATGTAGTACTTGGTTCCTTTTTTTTTTTAAAGAGAGAGAGAGAGAGAGAGAGAGAGAGAGAGAGAGAGAGAGAGAGAGAGAATTTTTAATATTTATTTTTCAGTTTTCAGTGGACATACATCTTTATTTTATTTTTATGTAGTGCTGAGGATCGAACCCAGTGCCCCGTGCATGCCAGGTGAGTGCGCTACCACTTGAGCCAGCCAGGTACATGGTTCTTATTGCTATAACAACTTGCTATAAGCTTATTGACTTTAAATGACACAAATTTGCCATCTTACAATTCTGACAGAAGTATAGATTGGTCTCATTGGGCTAAAATTGAGGTGTGACCAGGGCTGTGTTCCTTGGCGTGGTCTCTAGGGAAGAATGTGTTTTCCTGCCTTTTCTATCTTTTAGAGGAAGACTGCATTCCCTGGCTTCTCCTCCATCTTCAAGCCAAGAGCAGCTGGTGGCGTCTTTCTCATACTGTGTCACTCTGGCCCTGACTCATCCGCCTCCCTCTTTTACTCAAAAGAACTCTTGTGATTACATTGGACGCACCCCGATGAGTCAGGGAAACCTCCCTATCAAAGTGTCCTTAACGTAATCATATCTGCATAGTCCCTTTGGCTATGCAATGTCACATTTTCACAGGTTCCAGGGTTCAGAATGTGGACATCTTTGGGGAACCATTATTTTTGTCACCATGAATAGAATGGGCTTGTCATGGAAGATCTGAGTCACCAATGGCATAGAAGTTGGAGATGAATAATATTGTTTTTAGTGGATAACCAGAAATATATTTTTCAAAACTTTTTCTATATATGAACTTTTTTTGTAATTTGTTAATTTTTTTCTAAAAAATGAAGAGTTATTTTGATTTTTTTACTCTCTATATTCCTACATTAGATTTCCAAAAAACATGCTCAATAGAACATTGTTTTTCCTTGGAAGATTGGTATGAGAGTGAAAGGGAGATATTTCTTCTTTTCTTTCTTCCTTTTCTTCTCAAATTCCCTTCTCTAGCTCTTATGTTCTGCTTTCTGTCCCATGAATTCCAACCATGTGCTGGGCACTGCCTGAGGTATATTTGTGGGGATACTGAGATGAAGAAGATATCACTTCTATTCTTAAAGAACTTACGGTTTATTGAGGTTGACTGCCATGGAAATTATTAATTATTACAAACAGGTAATATGAGAGACAGTCATAGGATATAGCAAGTGGTACTGAGATATTCAGCTTGCCAGAGAAGTCTTTTAGATGGAAAAAATATTTTAGTTGCATCTTCAATGACACAGAAGTTATTCAGGCAGCTAAGGCAGGTGGTGATGGGAGAGGGTGTGTGTGGGTATGTGAATAAAGTACTTGTAGGGAAAGACATTTTTTTGTTTGTTTGTTTTTGCATGAAGATGGGAGACCCATGATCTGGGAGAGGCGATGTGGATTCCGAACTTGATTGTCCCTTTTTCTCTGGTAGAACTCAGGTGTCGGGAATGTGTGATTTCCCAAGACAAGCAAAAGCAGTCTGGGGAGAATTCAGGTTTCAGTTAAGGCAGTGGTTCTAGGCCTGAAGGCACACTGGAGTCACCAAAGGAGATTAAATCATGCAACAACAAAAAACCACGCCAGGGCTAGACCCCTGACTGAGTCAGATTCTGCAAAGGCAGGGTGGAGGCACTTTTAATGTGAAAATCACTAAGATAGAACAAAATATTTGAAAGTATTGGGAGTCTTTTTTAAACACTAGAAAAGGAGTTGTAAGGGCACAGGAGAAAGGGTGGAGGGGGAGAAGAAAAGGGTAGAGCAATAGGAGGTGAGTGGATGGGAGGGCAGATGAGTGGAAGAGAGCGACCCATGCTCTCTAATTCTAAGGCTCCAGAGTCGGACATGGCGAGAGGAAGACTTTGATGTAAGCTTGTTTCTGAGCATTGCAGATTGAATCAACCTCAAAAGTTCTTTCAGTGAATGGCAAGGAAGAGATGTAGAAGAACTGAGGAGGGAAGCACCGGCTTTGTGCTCTCTTTGCTATAGAAGCCAGTTTAGCAATCTGTTTACATTTCCATGTTTGTAAGGGGAATAAAATAAATAAATATTCCATGTTCCCCATTCCTGATTGATAGTCTTCTGTGTGTGTGTGTGGGGGGGGGTAGGGGAGGTACCAGGGATTGAACTCAGGGGCCCTTGACCACCGAGTCACATCCCCAGCCCTATTTTTGTAGTTTATTTAGATACAGGGTCTTACTGGGTTGCTTAGCACCTCTCCATTGCTGAAACTGGTTTTGAACTCATGATCCTCCTGTCTCAGCCTCTCGAGCCACTGGGATTACAGGCATGTACCACCACGCCCAGCTCTAGGTAGCTTCCTTTTTGTGATTTTACTTCCTTTCCTGGACTCCTGATGTTCACTCTCCAAATTACAGTAATGCAGAGCCTTCTGCTCCTATGCTGGAGTCGCCTATATTCTGCTTTGGCTAATGTGAAAGGTGGGTCATTGTTCTTAGATGGAGAGAGAGAGAGAGAGAGAGAGAGAGAGAGAGAGAGAGAGAGAGAGAGAATAGATTAACTTTGTGAAGAGTAAAAACATAATAAAGAAACTAGTCTTCACAGTGAGCAGAAGGTTGTCAGTCCCTGATGAGGTTCTTAATGAGTCTGATATTCTTTCACAGAGAAAAGAAAATGTACTGGGATAAAAGAAGAAAAATTTTAATTTTGTTTTGAGTTCTGATTCACATTTTATAGCAAAACCTTAATTAACTAAGAAGCAATTAAAGCCCCCCCCCATCAATAAGTTTATTGCAAATGGATATAAAGTAATGTAAAATGGATTTTTTTCCTACTATATTGAATGCCCTTGCTAAAAACACAGAATTGGAATAAAGTTGCCCAAGGTCATGTGCTTGGCAATTTGTGGGGCCAGGAGATAAACTGCGACCTGTCAGACATCCAAACTGCTCCTGTTAACCACTGTACTACATTGCTTCCTGTTAACAAATCCCTCCCAAAAGGGAGGATACATTAAGCAGAAGAAAAAGAATTTTTTTTAAGTTATAGATGTATATAATACCTTTGTTTTATTTTATATGGATCTGAGGATTGAACCCAGTGCCTCACATGTGCCAGGCAAGTCCTCTGTCACTGAACCACAACGCCAGCCGCAAAAGTGATGCTTTGAGAGAATCAATTTGGTGCTGGATTCAGGAGGGATTAGAAGAAGAAAGGAGATCAGAGAGCTCAGCAATGCTGCAGCTCAGTGGTACAGGAATGGGACAGTGGAGGCCTGAATTGGAGGTAAAGGGAATGAGAGGAAGGAATCATCTTTGAAAAAGGAATGGGTAATATTTGATGATTGGTTGACTACTCAGGAGATGGAAGGCTCTCATAGGATGCTGACGTTCACTGAGCACTGACTCTGGGTCTAGGCATCCTTCTGAGACCTTTCCAGATAGCAACTTGTTCTCACAGCCCCCTATCACACAGGCACTATTGCCAGAACCTCCTTTTCATGGGTGAGAAACGGCTTTCCTCAGCATATACAGAGGGCGAGGAGCCGAGCTGGGGTTTGAACCCAAACATCTGGCTGCAGGCTGTGTGCTCCTTCCTCTTGGCTATTCTTCTTCTCTTGAAATCCCTGAAGTGTGTGATGCTCTGTAGGCTACATGTACTTGACCATGGCAGCTTGTCTGAGCTTCCCAAGAGTCTGGGCAAAGGGGCAGTACTTCTGCTCTACAGGAATCAATTTGTGTTGCCAATAAAAAAGAGCCAGAATCAAAACTCAAACATAGATGGTCCAACTTCATCTCCAGGACTCTGTCCAAATCCTCATGCTCCAGACTACGAGGGCGCAGAAAAGGAGAACTTGTGAACCAAAACACTCCAGTGGGAGCCATGGAGATGGTGTGATTTTAGATTTTAAGCAACTGTAGGAATACAATTTCCTCACTCTGTGTTTAATAGGACCCCAACTCTCTTAATTGTATATAAAGGAGGAATCACCTATTTCCTCAACAAGAGAGAAGATTCTGACAGTCATCATATAGCTTTACATTCCAGACAAGTCAGAGGGAAAACACACCTTTATCTAAAAGGAAAGGATGATTGATTCTAAACTGGGAGAAAAGAATTTAAAGAAAGAAACATAAGCTCAGAGAATACTAAGAAGATTTTAAAACCACATCTCTTATTCAATTGTCCTGCTATGACCTTTTAAGTTTATTTACACATAAAGAAACCAGAAACACAGATATATTAAACATGACAGAATTCGAGGCTACTAAGCATAATAAGAAAGTTACGTGTATTGTAACAGTGATACAAGACAGCAGGGGCTTAAAAGAAAGATTCTTGGCAGTACATGGAACTATGTCCCATTCTAAATGATATAATATGGTTTTACCTTGGTTACACTCAAAGAAAAATTATGCAATGTTCTTGAATTTAATAAAATCAACATATCTAAATCCAGTGTCTCTTGAGGGTCTAATAAAAAACATAAGTCTCTTAGAAACTCAATCTGAGGACATTCACACCAAGGCTAGATTCCAATGTTCTAGTTGCTGAGTTTTATTTTAGGACCAGCCTCCAGTGCGTACGGTCCCTGTCTTGGTTTCCTGATCTCTCTAATCTCTTTGAGCAAGGCTGTGTTGCTGGAGACGTTGTAGTGGAACAGTGAGTGTGTTGGAGATGCCATCTGGGGACACGATGTCTCCTGAAATCACACATGATCAACATCTGCAGAGAGCTTCCTACTTTCCAAAATATTAGGAATTTATAAATTAGAATACTACTGTATTGTGCATTAGCCCTTATCAAGTTCCCTAATGAAGTGCTCTTTCCTCTTATACAAGAATGTATTGTTTTCCCAAAGGGATTTAGGGAACGTCTGCTAGGACCCATAGAATTCTGTGACCAAGAATCTCTGGCCAGTGGGTCATCTTAACTGTGGTATTGTTTCCAAGCTGTGCAAATGAGGCAGATTGTGATGTAACTGAGGACTCTGAAATCATGCTGTGATTCTCTGACCCGTGCTCCCCACTGAGCTGGCTCAAGAAAAGTCTCGTCTTCATGGCATGTGTCTTCACTGTGAGGAATCTAATCAACTCGAAGAAGTCAAGGCCACACAACCCAATTTTGAAAACATGTTTTCCTTAATAACATTTTGATATAAATAGATTGATCCTACTGCTTCACAGATGAAACCTAACGTGGGAAAAGCACTTTGCTTCAAAGATGCACATCCCGGCACTATGGTCAAACTGAAACTAGGTTACTTTATACTGAATCAATGCTGCTGGCCTCAAAGCCTATACTTAATTCTGTAGCTTTAATGGACTTGGTAATTTTCGGTGGCTCGTAGTTGTTCATTGGAGAATCCCTTTCTGGGTTTCTGTGGGTCCTTGATTCTTATAAGAAACTGTAATTCATACCCCAGTACACATTTATTTCTGAACATTGCTTGCCTGATTTTTCTCTCACCTTTTTCTTTTGACCGTGAATCAGAGACCAGGACTCTGAATCGTAAGAGCCAGTGCTGACTGTGCAAGATAATCCACATTTCCAGTGCTGAGAGCAGCTTGTGTCAAGAGAAATGTGATTGTTCTTCTCCTCTTTTCTAACCTGAACGGTTTGGGTGCGTGGTGGCACATCATAGTAAGAGTGGATGGCACAGAAAAACATCTCACCTTGTGGAGAGCCTGGAAGCAAAAAGAGAAGATCAGGGACCCACAATCTCCTTCACACCCCCAGTGACCTGAAGACCTCTGATTAGGCTGAACCTCTTAAAACTTCCATTCCCCATAGCGCCACAGTTGGGGACCAAGCTTTTAACACGTGGACCTTGGGAGCCATTCCAGATCCAAACTGTAGCATTAGCTCATTCATACCTATTTTTATTTTTAAAATTATGTATTTATGCTAAGGTACATATAAAAAAAACTGATCAGCACACAACGTCATGCTTTCTCACCTGTTATTACTTAGGATAAAATTAAACAAATCCCCAGGGTTTATTTACTTAAGGATAATATAAAGACATTGCTTGTCTAATTTTTCTCTCACCTTTTTCTTTTGACCATGAATATAGTATAGTAATAAATACTGATATAATAAAGTGATATTGCAGATAGGATGAAATCCTGACAATGGCCTGGGAACAAGTGGCATTTGAGGAGCTACATTGCTGCTTGGTCTGAGGTCTGAAGTTCAGGCCCAAGGTCGGTGCTGGTCTCCGTAGTACTCACTTTCTGGGACCCCGGAATCTTCTCTGGGGTAATTTTAGGCATTCCATATTGGAATGTTCAAGACAAACCGGGCCCTGTATGTACTCTCCCTCCCTTAAATATTTGCAGTCATAAACTCTCAGGTTCAATTAATCGGCTGTCTCATGGCCTTTCCATGGCTTGTATTATTCAAAGAAACGGAATCAATTTATCTACATAAATTAGCAGTGACATAAGGGCAAACATGGATACCTGAGATTTCAAGGATGAGTCTATCCATGTGCAACTCCGTGTCTGTGTTAATTTTTCTCCAATGCAGTCATATATAAATATGCATATAAATTTTATATATGTGCATATAAATTACAATTGACTTCCAGTTTAGGAGTCTTCGAGTCCTAAAAATGGGAGTAGGAAGGGATGATGTGTGGTTGGGAGATACAGGTTTGGGGGATTTCGTGGCTAGTCCCTGGTTCTGGAGTCTGGTGGCTGGAGAAGATGCAGGCCCAGCTCAGAGACAGACTGCACTCACCTTTCCCCCTCCTTTTTGTTCTGTTTGCACCCTCAAGAGACAGTTTGATGCCCACCTGCTTTTCTATGAGTAAGATCTTCTTTACTCAGTTTACTGACTCAAATGCTAAATTCTCTGAGAAACACCCTCACAGACTCATTCAGAAATGGTCTCCAGAGAGCTGGTGAAACACTATTTCTGGTTACCCCTAAACCCAGTCAGAGTGACACACAAAATTAACCAGCACGTGGGTGAAGTGATGACTGATCAACCAACTTTCTGTGGAAGAGGCAGGAAACAATCTGTTACTCCCTGGCATTGCTAAGTTTCTATGACTCTCATCGAACTTGTTTTCTTTACTTCTCACAACTGAACATTATTTGAGGACTTTTTATCAAGTACTATTTATGTGCCAAGCACAGCGCTTATTGGGGATCCAGAGAGAAAGAACAGGATCTTGCTGTTGAAGAGCCATGGAAACCCTTGTTAAGGAGAATTTGGGATGCTGGTTAGGAGAACAGGCGAGATTTAAGAAACAGATGGAGGACAGTTAAGGCCAGTAAATACCAAAGACTTCTAAGAAAATCTCTCTATAGTATATCATCCTGAAGACAGATTGCATTGAAGAAAGCAGCATAGAAACACAGTTGCCTAAGGGAAGTGCATCCTTGAAAGCCGAGGTATCCAGGTTTGCCCTTAAGCCACTACTAAAAGACTGTGGCTATCTTTATTATTTCTTAATATTTTGAGAGATGGGGTTTCCACATTTTTCTCACATCACTTATACTGAGGATATTTTTTGAATGTCTATTCCAAATCCCTCCTATTGAAAGTTAAGCTCATCCTCTCCTGGAGAATAGCTGTCTGCTGTTTCTCTCAATATCACGAATGACTGGGAAAAGCTTCTTATAAATCTGCCCTCCTCATCCACCCAAATTCCATTCTAAACTCTTCTATTTTCAGCACCTCTGGTCATGAATCCTATCATCCTGCTTTCTCCTTCTTGTATTTCTTTTCTTTTCTTTTTCTTTTTTTTGCTCCCAAATAGCTGCACCAAAACCGTCATGTTTCCCTCAAACTATAGAAGCATAAAGTTCTCTGGGCTTATTATTCCTGCTTCTGTATTTCCATTTTCTAAGCCTGCATATTCTTCCTTCTTGCATTTTTCATTTCTTATTCAAATTTTGCTTCTCCTACAAATTCCAAATTTTAATTTCATTTGAAGTCACAGTCTTTTTATCTTTTAGCTAGATTTCATTTCCTTCTCAGGGAAGTGGTAGTGCCCCTTTTCCTTCCAAGCCTGGGGGCATATTTGGCATGTTTATTTCTCTGTGTGTCTCTCTCCTGAGAGATCTTCAGAATGAGGCTTGACAGGAGGAGACTCTGCTTAATGGAAGACTGGAGAGGAGGACTAGGAGGATGGAAATGCTCCCATTTGGGTGCATTTTGCATATGCAGCACCACACTCAGGGCAGTTATTGGGATACATGTACACACACAGAAATACATGCATATATGTACACACACACACAACTTTCTGTGGAAGAGGCAGGAAACACACACACACACCAACACACACACATATTTATTTATTTATTTTTACAGTACTGAGGATTGAACCTAGGGATGCTTTACCACTAAGCTACACCCTTTTTTTCTTTTCTATTTTGAGAGGAAGACTTGCTAAGTTGCTGAGGCTGGCCTCCAACTGGTGATTTTCCTGCCTCAGCCTCCTGAGTTGTTGAGATTATAGGTGTGTGCCAGAAATAAGTTTCAGCTTATTTCTTCCCTCTGGACTGGCAGAAACCTGGATCTTGGTCTATACAGCTTTGTATATATGTATGCACTTGGGCAAGGTAAGGGAGCCCGGTGATTTTAAGTTGTTTTTTGAGGGATAGAATCATACCAGTATGTGAGAATCCTAGGGAAAAATTATACCCCCACTGCTTTGAGAACTTTTTTGGGTTGTAATTTCTAGGATCTGGATGTTTAGGGGTGCATTGATGTTGTTGCTATCAGGGAGGTAGCAGATGGAAAATAAATATACTCAAGGGCTCAGAGGTTATTACTGATGTGGAGGCAGGTAGTCAGGCAACGGGGAGTAAATACAGTGAAACAGTGGTCTCTTGAGCAACACGAGCCACAACCTAGGGATGGGTAGCCCAGGCCTTCTGCATGGGACAGCTTTAATGGGTAGAGTGTAGAACATTCCAGCCATGGATCGATGAACCCTGAGCAGCTGCAACTTACAGACTTGAAAATAGCCTGAAAATGAGTTTTCTCAGGTCTGAGAGCTGCATGAGGCAGAGCTGGCAAGACAGATGGCAGCTGGCAACAGTGACATGTGAATTGTTCGTCACAGAGTGCTTTCCATGCCTGTGTTGAAAGGGAAACTCACAATAACCCCGTGAGGGACCTCAGGCAGATATCACTAAAACTCATTTATGTAGAGGAAGAAGCTGAGGCTCGAGGAGCTAAGATAAACTGCCCAAAGCCACGTTCTCAGTTTTACTGTCATTTGATGTTTTCCAGGGCACAATAGCTGAGGATAGAATTGTATCTCAATAACACTTTCTAAGCAACATTTCTTTCATTTTTATTCACCAACTTTTGTGAATTTCAGGTCCCCTTAAATCCCTGGGTAATAATAATATTAATAGTAATCATATTTTAAAAAGAACTTCCCTTGTTTAAGTACTTGTCATATGCTAGGTGAACCTCACAACAATCCCAATCCCTAGGAGTGAAATCATTATCTCTATTTAATGGTTGAAAAAAGATTTCCAGAGAGAGGCAGTCATTTGCTCAAGATAACACAGCAAGTAAGTAGTTGATTTAAGATAATCACCAAAATGTTTATAATTCCAAGGTCACATATTTGCATTCGGACAAATTCAGCGACTGACTTAGTGAGTCCCATGGGTGTTGCCTTGTGCTCAAGCATCTGCTTGTCTCCCAGGGAAAGGCCCCTTGGAGCTGCTCTGGCTCTTGGCCTTGACGGCTGTGAGCTTCTGTCCCAGGTGGCTCTGGCTGCTTCATCCCTGTCACTACTTTCATTCCTTATTACCTTGTGATGTAGCAGTAAAGGGGGCAGGGGAGGGGGTATTGGAAACGACTTTCCCCAAAGACATGCCCTGTTGCTTTGGTTTCTTAAAGAGATGTCATCCACAAAATCCTTTTTGGCTTTTCATGTATTTCTCTTCCTCAGAACTTGGGCATGAACCCAGAGGGGTAGGGTGGAAGGCCTCTGCCTACACAGTTGCTCTTCTCTTTAAATTCCTGTTTCTCATCTTTACACACATCATATTGCCCCTCAGGTCCCTCCCTCAGCACGTTCCTTTGTCTTTCACTCCAGCAGAGCCCACCCTTTAGACCCTTAAGCTGGGAGGCCCATCAACCTCGTTATAATGATCATCGACTAATACGTATGTCTTGGACCCTCTCCCGTTAAATTGTGCTTGTGCTTTTGAGGCAACTCATCTTTGCATTTATACATCAGCTGAGTGCTTGAGATATAATTTACCATATGGATAAGTATAAGAACAAATAAGATAAACAAAATTAGGAGGTTCTAGTTCCTGCTGATTTTAGATTCTAGGCCTACCAGAATCCTTAGATAAGTGCATTTCATTTCTGCTTCACAGTATTTGTACTTTCTGATTCCCTTTGCCAGCATATTCTTCCTTAGAGTTTTTCACAGTGTCTTAGACCCTTATTCCATTGAATTCCAATGAAACTCTTCCGACAGTGCTAATGGACTATCCCCGGAAGTTTTCCACCCCCTTACTCCGACTTGCTTTTTCTTAATAGAACTACTGAATGCTTGCTTACTACTTGTTTTTCGCAATATGTTCCATCCAGTTGAGACCTTTGTTTTATTCCCTCATATCTCTGGGGCCTTGAAAAGTTACTGGCAGTTAGTAGGAGTTCAATAAATATATACTGAAGGGATGAATTAAGTTGAGAAAGGCTCCCTAAAAGTGGTGTGTGCCCACACGCTGAGCTTTCCTTAGTCTTGTGAGATGCTACTCTAGTGAAGACATTTGAAGTTCAACAGTCTGGTAAAATCTAAAATGTTGACTCCTGAAAAAAGTTAATTGTTTATTGATCTCTTCTTGTTGTTCCTTGAAAATGTGCATCTAGATCTATAAAACTCTTAGTTCGGAGTCCATTATTTCCTGGTATTTACATCTGAACAGTCTCATGATAAATGGCAGCTCACACACACACACACACACACACACACACACACACACACATTTTAAATTTTTTGTATATTGGGGATTGAACCCAGGCGTGCTTTACCACTGAGCTACATCCTTAGCCACTTTTATTTCTTTTATTTTGAGACAGGGTTTTGCTAAGTTGCTTAGGATCTCACAAGTTGCTGAGACTGCCCTTGAACTTGCAATCTGCCTGCCTTATCCTCCCAAGTTGCTGGCATTGCAGGCATATGCCACCATACCTGGCAAATAGCAACTCATATTAAAACCTTATTTTATTTGCCATC